AATCAGTCTTTCAACGCATGGAATACGTTTCGGAAGATGCAGCCCATCAAACTCCAACACCATGCATGTGCACTCAATTGGTCCAGGGGCATCGGTTCCCCCCTGGCACAAGGATGCAACCATTGAGCATCTTCCCCCCTTAAAATATACGTCTCCAGGGATTACCCAGCCTAAAATTAGTAAATGGCAGCGCTTCTCTTCTTTCGTTGTGTGATACCACTCCCCCCCCTTCTCTCCTCTTGGTCAACCGGTGTTCTCCGAACCAATGCTCTTGCCGCATGGATTCCATCGCTTCGCCGCCGCAAATTTCAACATTTTATTTTTGAGGGCAACTGGCAGCTAATGTGATTAACTCGTCATGGTCTCCCGGAGCGATTATACCGGGTGAGCGTAGGGTAAGATGGCACCGTCCCCTGCAGGGGAGGGGGACGGGAAGTGGAAGGGTGCAGTGAACCTGAGAGCGCGCGAGAGAGAGAGAAGAGAAGGAGAAGAGGAAAAGTGCGTGGTCGTTTCGACGGAGCGAGGCCTGGCTTTTATAGATCAATCGTTTGACATCCCTAGTGCTCGCTAGAATGCCAAGTGATCGCACCTATTTAAGCAGTTGCTGCTCCGCTAGATACTTACAATGAACCAACCTTGCGCCTCCATCAGATTGACGTTTGGTTGAGGCGGCGAGGGGCCACCATCCCTTGAGCGGCAATCGGAACGAGCCGAAACGAGCCTCGCTCATGATAAGGATCAATGGTGAGGGCGGCCCTAGGACCTCATCATAAGCTGCGCCGCAGGACCCGGCACTTAAGTCAAAATAAACACGCGCCGCCCTCGCCGCCAGCGTCCCTTTCTACATCCCCTGGCAGTTTGGCGTGGACTACGACACCATCGGCCGCAGTTCCGCGCACGAGCTGTTCGACGAGCAGCTGGATGTTCGCTAGCTGCTGCGCGCCCAGGAACAGACGAAGTGGACCGTGGTGTCGACGGGGATGATTACGAGTTTCCTGCTCGACTCTGCGTTTGGCGTCGTTGATGTGACGCCGCTTCGCGCGAAGGTCCAGGCGTTGGCGGATATTGGGAAATTGACGGCGGAGATAGTGCTTGGGGACGACGGCTCGCCCGGTGCCAATGGGCCTGTTTTTGTCGGCGGCGATACGCTTAGTTATGCGCGGGTCGCGGAGTTGTTGGAAAAGATCACGGAGAGGTCGGCTGTGACGGGTTCTGGAAGCGCTGGAGAGGTTGAAGAAAGAACTGGACAACGTTTCGTGGAAAGTTCTATGCTTTTTTCTGGATCGGTGATAGGATG